GTGGTCACAAATATCCTTTACGAAGAATAAGTAATTACAGAAATTCTTCTCACAAAATTCTCTGTTCTCTAAGGTTTGAAACACTTCCAAAAAGGAATGATGCAAACTGACTCTTTCCTAATAACCAAAAAAGAAATATTCTCAAAGAAGACTTGACCATATTTGAAAGAAAGAAAAAAAAAAAAAAAAGATAAATAAACGAAGAATAAAAGTATGAACTTTTCCTCAATCATACCTACAAAACAGGACTTAAATAGTAATTCTCACTTTTGCTAGCGCTCTATATATATCGGTTATTATTTTTTGAAGTGACTATTGTATAGTTTTTTCCTTTTTTGATAGTTGTGGTATACGGACCAGTTTATGCGTAGCTCGACTAATTTTAGGGATACCTGTTATCTTTCACTAGCAAATAATTTTATCCATCAAAACTTAAACATATGAAAAAAAATCACATAATATTGTCGACTCCGTATGTTGGAATTTGAACCTAAGAGGGCTTATAATATCCTCTTATTATAAGACTAGCATAAAGCACCAATAAGTTGGAACCATAATGAATCTTTTTAAAGACTTTTAAGCTAATTGAAAATGACCTACATATCTTATTGAAAGCAACTCGATGAACATTATATTCAGATTAATCGACAAGAGAACGTACCTAAAAACAACTTTTTCTAATTATTCTTTGTTTTTCACCAACCACTTAATTTAAGAAAAAATAAAGTGAAATTACATATATTATTTTGACTGATATTCTTACTAATAATTACAGTAGTTAATAATTAAAATGTGGCGTATAACATGTAGCTTGACTACTACCTATCGTTAAAACACAAGCTAGAGACCCATTCATCTGTATTTATTTTCAAGCCAACAAAACCCAAAGTGGTCGAGCGTATCTCTTTGTCATGCCAGAGTTTTATTAGTATTATTTTTGTATTTTTTTATTCTTAGATTTTTATTATTACTTGTTGTTTTTCTAGCGTCAATTATCTTATTATCTTGATGTAATTACTACCTCTTTTTTGGTTACTTTTTAACTATTGTATTTCTTTTAAATACTATCGTGATTGTTTTTCAATTAAGCTGAAGGTCTATTGAAAATAACCTCTCTATCTCATAAGATAGGGGTAAGGTTGCATATACACTATCCTCCTCAGAGCTCACTTGTGGAATTACATTGGATATTTTGTTGTTGTTGTTGTAAAAACCCATAATGATTCCAATGACAAATAGGAATAGCAATTACGATATAGTCGCCCCATCTCTAAAGGGGCTTATGCACTTCACGACTTTATTATACTATGGGGTCTCGAAGTAGAGATGGAGGAGATCAAATTAAACTCGGGAATAGAAAGAAAGCTCGCCCTCCTTTTCGATCATTTTGATGGTGGGGGATGAAGTGAACAAAACAGACTCACATTTCTTATCGAAGAAAGACAGGGAATGAATCATATTGGAAACGCTCCTAACCCAACCCAACCCTAATAGAGGTACAACAAATAGGTCAAAAGTTGTTGATAACCTAATGAATGCTAATCACTTTCAATAAAAATCAACACTTTATCCTCGTGCAAGCTAATCAGACACCAAGTAAATTTTTTTCTTTTTAACAAGTTAAAACTTAAAATTTATCAACTTTGAGATAGGAATAATCAACATGCAAGACTCAAATTCTACACAAAAAAACATAATTTTTTACAAAAAACATCCAAGATATCTTACCTCATCTATTTTGCCTTCCTCTATAATGTGTTGCATTCTTCTCAGCCACTGGGTAGACAGTTGACCGAAAGATAATTTCAATTCGCCCAGGCAACAGGCGGACGGCGTGCTTATCTTGTATGATAACACTACAGAGCAAGTTGCGCTCCTAGACGGGCAGCTGTGTGACAACATTACAAAGAAAACGGCGATTTCTTTTAACATGCTATATGTTTCATTTATCTCTCTCATTTGTATTCTCTTCAAGAAATGGCATTAGCTGCAGTGATGGGTCCATAAACGATCAATTTGTTTGTCAAAAAGACGTTTGCCTGCTATACTATGCAACAGAGAGATATCACAATAGAATATTTCCAAATATTTTCGTAATTGTTCTGAAGATATTCAACAATGTATATTTTACAAATGGTCATATAACTATGACATTTTTTCATCGAAGTCATATAACTACATTTTCTCACACAAAAATAATAGTGACCGGAAAACACAACTTTCTGTCAGTATTTTCTTATATTTCTACCGGAAAGTTGTGTTTTCTGGTCACTGTGAAATAAGAAAACAAAGTTATATGACTTTAGTGGGAAAAAAATCATAGTTATAGACCTATTTCATGCTGTACTATTCTTTACAAGATTATCTCAAAATGCTCACTAGTAGACTGCAAACTGTGATGGACTATTTGGTTGATAAGAGTCAAGCTTTTGTACCAGGGAGATTATTGAATGACAATATTTTGCTAGGACATGAGCTTGTGAAAGAATATGGTCGGAAAGGAATCTCCCCCAGATGTATGATCAAGATAGATATGCAGAAGGCATATGACTCTTTGGAGTGGGTATTTCTAGCAATGAACATACCTAGTCAGTTCCTGAAGTGGATAATGACTTGTGTGTCCACAGTTTCCTATTCAATTGTGATCAATGGTAAACCAATAGCTCCCTTTGATGCCAAGCGTGGGATGAGACAAGGAGACCCTTTATCACCCTACCTTTTTGTTTTAGCCATGGAATATTTGACAAGATTGATGAAGACTTTGAAGAACAAACCAGATTTCAATTTTCATCCAAGGTATGAGAAGCTAAACATAGTCCAGCTAAACTTTGCTGATGATCTTCTACTTTTTTGTAGAGGTGATTTTATATCTACACAGATGCTATATGACTGCTTCCATCAATTCTCTGCCTCATCAGGGCTGATTGCCAACCAAGGAAAGAGCTCTATATACTTTGGTGGAGTACCAGTACAAGTTCAACAACAAATTCTGAGTAGCTTGGGTTTCTCCATGGGATCTCTGCCTTTTCGATATCTTGGTGTGCCATTAAGTGCTAAAAGATTATCAGTAAATCAATGTCAACCACTCCTAGATAAAATACTAGCAAAAGTGCAACATTAGACAACAAGGTTCTTATCATATGCAGGTCGTTTGCAGCTGATAAAGAGTGTGATGATAGCTATTCAATCTTTCTGGTCAAAGATCTTTCCTTTGCCAAAAAAGATCCTGATAAAGATTGAAAGTATATGCAAAAGGTTCCTGTGGACAGGGGAGACAGATGGAAGCAAGAAGGCTTTGGTTGCTTGGAAACAATTATGTTGGCCAAAGACTGCAGGAGGATTGAACATAACAGATATAATCATTTTGAACAAAGCAGCAATTCTGAAGCACCTTTGGAACTTATGCAAAAAGAAGGATCTATTGTGGATTCAGTGGATGCACACGTATTACGTAAAGCAAGATATAGTATGGAATGTTAAAGCTAAGCAAGCAGCATGGTTGACTCAAAAGATCCTAGGAGCTGGAAAATACTTGACAGAAGCTAATATCAATGTGGAAGAGGTGACGAATGGGAACAGTTACTCCATTCGAGATGTTTATAATAAGCTAAGGGGTGAGTTCACAAAGGTCCCATGGAGGAGAGTGCTATGTAACAATGATAGCTGCCCTAAATCGCTATTCATTATGTATATAGCCATACAAAGTAGATTATACACTAAAGACAGATTCATGAGATGGGGGAGCATAACAAGTGCAGTATGTGTCTTATGCGAGGAAAATGATGAGGATCATGAGCATTTGTTTTTTAAATGCAAGTTTTCAGCAACAATATGGGAGAGGCTACTGAAATGGGCTGGAGAAGGACGAGCTGCCAGGAAATGGAATGAAGAAATAAGCTGGGCCATTAAATTTGCAATAGGAAGAAGAGCATCGGCAGTTCTATATAGAATGATGCTTGCAGGCACTGTGTATTACATATGGCAGGAGAGGAATTGGAGGATTTTTCGGAATCAAAAAAGGAAAACTGAGGTTTTAGTTAGATTGATAATCCAAGACACTCATTGTCGGGGTAGTATGAGAGCTAGTTTAGAGGAAAAGCTACAGTCTTTAAATTTTTATCCTTAGATTGCTATGTTGATTCTGCTTAGCTGATGTAGTGCATATAGTTGAGGCTGCATGTCCAACTGTATAAGATAGAGATGGGTTTTGCTCTGCAAATGTATTCATTTTTTCCCAGGTAACAAAAATTTAAATTACCAAAAAAAAAATCATAGTTATATAGCCACTTATGAAATTTACCCCAATTCAACCCCTTGTCTTCATTTTGGTTAGATGCTTACACCTTTCCGCATAATATCAAAGATGAACCTTAAAATACACTGAAGATATAGATGAAAGCTCTTACCTAGTAGCTCCAAAATGTTTGTTTTCACAAATGAAGTGTTTCCCCAGATTTTCTGCAATTGTTCTCAGCTGCTCCATCTATTATCAAACTTTTTTAATTGTTACTTGTGTTTTTTTCAAGTAATATCAAAATCAAACTTCAGTAACCTCGTAACTCACCTTAAGAAATGTTAATCGTGTAGCCTGTAACTTGTTATAAATAACAATCAAAGGGCATAACTGAATCAAAAAAGTGGATGGAGGAATATTTTTAGCCCAATAAGTGAATGAAGGGTATTTTTAAACCTTTTCCAATAATTTAAGGGCATTTTGAATCCTTTTTCGTAAATAATAATGTGAGGTCTAACATTGCATACCCATTGAGACGCACAATTTTTCAGGCTTTTTTTATTTTAGCCCGCGCCAAAAACTATTTATATTTGATAATCGAAAAATTTGTATGAAATATATAAAATGTATATATATACAAAAAATAAACACTTTTTCGGCTATTAATTTGCCAGTGACTATACAACATCATTTTCCCTTTTTGGTGGTAATATTTGGGCTTGTAAGCAACTCCTCTCAAACGAAGGCCAATTTTCATGCATAGTCAACGCAGAAAAACAAGGTAACACAAGCATAGTCAACCGTTTAAGAGTACAAGCAAGCAACTTTAGTATGAACTCTGTACAACACACTTGACACATAAGTGTCACTTGCGAAAATATATGGGAGATAGAAACCTGAAATGTGCAAGTTTTTAAGCGCTCACTTCATCTATCAAATCCCAGAACTCTGGAGGTTCTGGATAGGTGAAAGCTAAACGCTTATCACATTTTCACAATAAGTAACAACCTACATTATGTCTGATCGAGCGCTCCTGCGCCGAAGATGAACAAGGCTAAGCGATCCGACATTCAAGGAAAAAGCAACAGCTACGTCTACTCTATCCACTTGTTTTATAGCTAAGAAAAAACAGCTGTTCATAGAAGCAAACACAGAAGCCTTCACTCCAGGCAGACACTCTCCTGCTCTTGTTTTATGCGGACCAATTCCATTGATTTAGGTGGTACCTGCGAAATAGCACCAAAAGAAAGTCTTCAAAGAAAACTAAATGAAACCGAAATAATGCACTCAGTAACATATCCAGCTCTCCAAGCAATTCTGCAGTAATTGAGACAACAAATATGCACAAACACGAAGCATGATATTTCCCATTAATCGGGCGCTTGGGGTGGGGGGTGGGCGTTGAGAATGGATATTCTTTCTATTATCATTGTCCCTCATGTCGCTACACAAAAAAGAGTGATAGTTTTCACGCAAGTCAAAACAGTGATCTCAAAGGATCAAACACTAAATTTTTAATGTAAGATCACACGCTACTTTCCTGAGCATGCAGCTGATGTCTTCCATCAAGCCAGAAACGACTATAAAACCAGTAGCTACTTATCCGTAACACCTTGCATCAATCAATACAATTCCTCCACTACCAAACCAAACTGGTACTCCCTTACATTATGGGACATCGAGTGTATGGGAAACTAGAAATTTCCAGCTTTAAAGTATCTGCTTTTCATATTTTAAGAAACATACAGACATCCGATGCAGTTTCTTAAATTTTCCGCAATCATATAATATTGTGGTTCAATGTTAGTAAAACATCAGATGCTACGAGATGAGCAACTGTCCCTCATTATGTGTCTCCATATGATGCATATCAAATATCTTAAGCCATCAATTCTTTAGAACCCTAGGGAAATCCACTCTTTTTATAAGCACCATATACTTGTGCCAACAAAGATGAGAACTGAATACACACGTACGCAACCAATGACAGTAGTCCCAAATTAGACCACACATTGTTCCTATTAACTATTTATAGACGGAAAAACATCTTTTTAGTTTCGGCAAAGGGTCAAAAATATCCCTCTACCATGAAAAGGATCATATATACCCTCCATTATACTTCCGGTCTATTATAGCCCCCGAGGTTATAAAATTGGTGCAAAAATACTCCTCCGGCATGGCCTTCCACCATGGCAGTATCTCCCACCCACCCCATTTTTGCCCCACCTCTCATTTCTTCTTCCACCATCTCCCACCGTTCCTCCCACCCCAGCCCAAACCCACCGTGCCATCTTCACCCAATTATTTTTTGAGTTTTTTTGTTGTATTCCAAATTGTAGATAACTGAAGCTGCAACAGTAGTAATCAACCCACAGTCAAGAACTCTAACAATCCAAGGTAAAAATTCATTATCCACATTTACCTTGGTAATTATTGGACAAAACAGAGAAATTGGTAACATTCTTAACATAAGTATAAGGGCCTCTTTAGTCTTTACTATCGCTGACAAAGGAGATGCTAACAAGAGTTTCAAATTATCATTTGTAGAGTTCAAATAGTACAAGCACCAACTTGCATTTTCATGGGTTAGTAGTGTTACCAAATTGAATAAACTTAAACAGATTATTATGGGATTTTCTTTTATAAAATTCTCTTTAGTTATATTTAAAAAGAAAAAAGGAATCCGTTAGAACCACTGCTTTGGAATTGGGTGTGCTTGAAAAATATTTAGAACTGACATATGAAAGCTTAATCCCTCCCAAAGTGCACATTCATTAATGAATTCTAGCACTTCTAAATCACATTCTCAATTTTGGGTCACGGATGGGGAGGATAAAAATTGTGATGAAGATGATTANAGAATCGTGGTTTGAAGGTCAAGAATGGTGACCAGATGATGGTGGAAAAATATGAGTGGTGAAAGAGCTGAGGTGGTGGCGACAGTGGTTAGGTGGGAGGGGGGTGAAAGAAAAAAGAATGAAAGGAGGGGCTAAAATGGGTTGGAGACTTGGAGTGCTGAGGTGGCATTCCACATTTGGTCCATCTCACCAAAATGTCATGCCAAGTAGGATGGTGCTGCCATGGTGGAAAGCCCTAACGGAAGAGGGGTATTTTTGTACCAGTTTTATAATGTCGAGGGCTATAATGGTATAATTGAGGGTATAAATGATCCTTTTCACATAGTAAAGGGGCATTTTTGACCCTTTTCCGTTTTAGTTTTAAATGAGTAACCTACCACTGAGAAGTACAGACGATATCTTTGTTCACATTGTCTTCCTAATGGCTACTTAGATTCAAGAAAATTTTGTTACCATATATACTTGTGACTTGTGAGACCTTAATTATTATCCCATATTTTTTCGACATTTTATGATTATATAAATCTTCTGCAACTAACTTTCAGCATAGTTCCTTCGACTTTTGTGCAGTGCATCCAACTAACAAATATGCTCCACTGTTAGGCCCCCCTAATGTCATTATAACAATCATACCTTATAAGATATGGACTATAATAGGTTATGGTTGGTATTTCTACTGTTGCTCATTTCAAAAAATATTGTAAACATTTTTTTTAACAAGATAACAGGTATGTTATTAACAATGAAACCAGTCCTTAATACAAAGACTGTGGTAAGAGGAACCCGAGCCACACGACCCCAATATTATTGTAAACATTTAAGGCAGCAAAATTCCCATAACAGAGTTTTAAATAATACTCCCTCCAGTCCATAATAAGTGACTTTTTATCTTTGGCACACTCCTTAAGAAAATACGAACTTCTAGAGAAAAAAAAGATATATTCGCTAAATTACCTTTAATTAATTGTTACCTTGACACATTAGGATATGTAAATAAGGGCAAATTTTGGAAATATAAAATTAGTTCCTTCTTGATTAGGTAAAAAGACACTTACTTTGGATCAAATTTAAAAGGCCAAAAGGTCACTTGTTATGGACCGAAGGGAGTGTGAGCCAGTGGCAACCTAGGATTTTGTGGAAGCTGGTTTAGGCATAGACTAAAGTCCTTAACAGCAACCAATAATAGACATCAGGGTGCATGAACAATATAACATTGGAAGCCCAACATTTGGTAAACCAGGAATAGGGATAGGTCAAGACTCCTATGACATATAAAGAAAATGGACCTTAAGCCTTACTCAGCCAAAAGCTAGCTCATAAAGTGAGGATTGAGCAAGACATACACGGAGATAACAACTTCCCTTAACCAATGTGGAACACTTTAACAATGTCGTATGGAAAGATAAAATGTGCAACCTAGTTGAAATTGCTACTAGTTGGACCCAAATGAACATTTTTCCAAAGATTGTGTGGAAGTCTGTCTAACCAAAATCTAACTCAACGTTTGGATAAGCAACATAGAGAAAAATTCTTAAATGGACAGGGTATGATATTATGAATGAAGCATCGACCATCTAGCACAGCAGCTGCACCTATTTCTTTAGAAAAAGTAAAGAACATACCTTGCATTGAAGACTCGTTATTGTGGACCTTAACAAAGTATCCCCTACGATCAACCTCAACTTTCTGACAAATTCATCCCGACTTATCTTCTTGTCCTATCGATGTCAGATAAATGAAACAAGAGGAAAATTTTTAAGTTCAGTAACAATCCAGGCACAAATTAGAGAAATAAAACATTCCGCAATTGTTACTTTTTTCTGATATACAATTTTCAGCAGATGCAAGATATATACCTTGAATAACTCATAATTGCTACTAACTAGGTTCATATCCTCTTGAGGCACTTTCCTCGAAATTGCTGCAAACAACATGGGGAATGGCATCCAGGGGGACTTCGGCGTCCTTGCATCCTTTTTTGAGGCCAACCCCAGTGAATTCTGATAGCCGTCAGTTCCCTATAAGAACACACAGTAATTGTTAGCTGAAAGGAACTCCACAAAGTTTGATGAAAAGATGACCACCAAAATGACAATGTTGCTGAAGAAGCAGAATCGTCATACTAGCACGTCATTCACTCTCTCTCCTCTATTTGGATCAAGCAAGGCTTGCTGGATGAGGCTGAGTAGTCCCAAAACCTTAAAACAACACAAAAGAAGGAATACACCCAAAAACCTTATATAATAGTACCTATTCCTAACTAAACAACTGTCAGGATAGGAATCAGGAAGCTGAGTTTAGAAACCAAAAACTTCAGTATCAGCAATTATTGGAACTGAGTTCAAGATCTAAGTATATGTACAAACAAAACCTGCAGAAGGCGAGTTTGGAATACATTGTTAACATAAATAAGAGTTATTTAAGCATGTACATTGAAATAACAACCGTCTCCAGTAGCTTATGCAGATTCCAGGTCACAGCATGTATTCTGTAGTGGCATGCGCCAAACACTGTCTCAAGTATCCAAGGTAGCAGCATGTATTCTGTAGTGGCATGCGCCACACACTATCTCAAGTATCCAAGGTAGCACTAGGGCAATGCTTATGAGGTCAATTGTGTCCCCTACAGAACTAGCATGCAATTGAGGAATATAAACAGGAGATGATTGGAGGTGCTAATATTTGCACAAACATCTTAAAGTAGGAGGATACCCTTAACATTCGCTTATTTTGCCAAGAAATTCACGAGGTGGTCCTTGAGTTGGAAGAACTCCCTGTGTCGCTCGACTCCTCTCAAAGTTTTTCAAAATCCTAGTTTTACTTCTGCCAAACTATTTCGCATTTGCTTCATATCCAATAAAATCCTCCAACTTCCCCATCTTTTGATTCAATCAAGACCAAAAACATAAATCAGCAGTCAAATTGTTTATAGCTGTCAATAGACTTACCAAGTCAGTAGGAAGTGTATCTGCCGGTACCTGATTACAACAAGTACTGACAGCAGAGACATCAATTGGGCTCTCGTTTCCAACAAGATATCCTGTAAGGATAAACATGGTAAAGATAATTCAACGGCTACATTATTTTGTAAAACAATATCTATGAAGTATTCCTCAAATTTAAAATGTCAAAAGAGAAAGGCGCATAATTTATCTGTACAACGCCAAACACAATAAAAACTACAGTTAGAGCAAGGCAGACAAAAAAACACACCCAAAAAAAATAAAAAAAATTAAGGCATTCAAGAACCTACGCAGGTCTAAGTTGCAGAACACTGAAAACCAAAAATCCCGTAACTCAATTGCCCTCAAACTTTTACAAATCAGATTCCATCCAACACTAATAAAATTTGCAGTCCCTCACAAAATTTTAGAACATTAGAATTGGTCATATTAACCCAGCTCCCAATTCCCATCATTAACCACCATGTAGAGATTAACACATTAAGAATCAATCTTGACATGAAATATTCAGTACAATATGAACAAAAGTAGTACATTAAATGAAAAAGACAATAATGTTGGTAAAGGCAATCCTAGGAATCGTCTAAACAGGATTAACATGGACATAAAATAACAAATACAAATGCTATAACACTGATAAGCACTAACAAATATAAAATATTTATTGTTTATTGTCCTATCACCCACAAAAATTAAGAAATAGGATGAATTTGATGATTTCAAAAGTCGGAGGGGCGGATTTCGAACAAAGCTGGAAGGATCTTTTACTTCCTTATTTGCAAAAAATGAACATTCATCCCTCCCCGAGCAGCCAATAAACTGTTGGAGTATTTAAGAGACGGATTCATGAACATTTAACACGAGATAGCTAAGGGGAACAACTTTCCTTTGACTTGTGCAAACAGTAACCATAAAGGAAAGGACTTAAATTATCACCTTTAGCATCAGGAGACAACTTGAAACTGACAACATATTCCGGAAAGATATGAGTGTTCATATTCATAGTCCAGACCACGTAACACTTCGGATTTTCAAGATTATCAACGCCATTATCGAAATCCTCACTACTGGGATGGAACTGCTTAGATCCAGGATAAACCAGTTCCATGTTTCCCATTATTACACGGCACAATATCATGTGCTGTACACCATTTTCGTCATAATCACAATACTTTGCACTGTAAAGAAAATGAAAGCAACAACATCAATAAGCTTCATAATGAGAAACAAACAAATTGACAAAAAGGAAAATAACATCATGGCAGGTCAGCCACAAAAAGGCGTAAACTTCAAAGCATCAAAAGAGAAGCGACCAACTATAACAAGCTCCTTTACGCATCAAAAGATATCTTATCAAACCTCACAAGACGACTAGAACAAGTGGAATTTCAAGACAAAATAATAACACACAAGACTAGCATAGCATATCATCAACATTCCACATGAAATTCCTCTACAACTACAAGGTCAATATTTGCATCTTTTAAACGCTACTTATGTCAGTTGACAAGCACTAAGGAATCAATTCATGGATAGCTTCTTAGGAAACTAACATGAAAGATCGTTAAAGCTATGACAGGACCAAAATAAATCTAGTATTTGAACCTGGATACCAGCAATAGAGATCTACTTGATAATGCAATTAAATAATCCTACAGGTAACACTCAGGTACCATACCAAAAGAAGAAAAAAACAGAAAGCAGTAACTGCCACTTTCAAACTTGATTCATATTCCTCTATCACTGATGATAAACACTGGGGATTTATAAATTGAGTAAACAAAAAATGAAATCAATATGCATTAGACTGGTCCTACTTTTCCAGATCTGAATCTGTATATTTTAGAGACATACAGCACGACAAGCATTCAGTCTGCTTTACCAGCAAAATTATAGGGAAGATCCAGATTACCCCAACCTTGAGGTTTGAATGTTGCCACTACCCACTGTTTTCATTAAAAAGTTCACAGCTGCCGCATCATTTAAAAACTTATGTGCTCTACAACCCAAAATCATTATTTCTAAAATGCACCTGTATAAGTCTTCTTGCAACTTCGGCTGTGTTGCTCGAAAATTCAGTTGATAGAAAAAAGTAAAAGAGGAAACAACACTACCTGATCTCAGTACAGTTAGCAGGGAAAAGATGAACACCAACGCCATATCTGGACTTGGATTTCGATAGATCATAATTAGCAAGCCCATACTTCATAATACTCGTAATCATTCCTTTAGAAGAAGGAAGCCAAGCATAACTAAGACTGGCACCCCCACGCTGCTTCTTCGTAATCTCCACCTGCTTTTGAAAGAGTTCCTTTCGAACTTCCATGAAAGTACTTGAAACACGATGTAATTCAAATATCTTTGCACCAGAAGGTGAATCGATACCCTTGAGAAACATCTCACCCACAACATCTGGGTCCAGATATTCCCACTTGCAGCACGCAGCATTTTCCACCATTTGATGATTTTCCGTGGAGTCATCCATGGATTTCGTATCTGAGAGTCTGACACAATTATCACCAACTTCTGCAGTGCAATTTTTTGCTGCAGGTTTGTGACATAAGTTAACTTGCTTAACAATAGCATTGGACTCTCCACTAGATTCCTTCAAACTTGACATGTCCGCTCCATTAATTTCAATCTCCAGCTGCATCTCCAGATCATTGGAACCCTCTGTCTCAGAATCCACCTCTATGGAGTCCTTGTGTTCGCTGTGACAACACTCATGCAGTTCATCACAATTAGCAAATAATTCCGGGAAAAAGCAGTTGCCTGCTTCATCAATCCATGCAATAGGTTGCTGCAGACCTGACTTCAGGTCCAATCGCATCATATGGAAGAAATCAAGCACAAAAATTTTACCATTGAACTCCACCTCTGTCACTGATTTCTTTATTCGGAGATCTTTCTTAGCCATTGTAACAATGTTCTCAGGGAAATCAGTCCACTGACCCTTCTGATAGTACATCAAACGTTGTGGAAGCCCACTTTTCCTGAAATTGAGATAATATCTAAGCAGAGATTTTCTTAGGTGAAACGCACAACCACCACACGTGCTGTTTGATCCATTCAGCTTCCTCCGTTTTCCAAGAGGGCGGATGGATGAGTTCAGCGAGGTTCGGACAGGAAATATCATGTGAGTAGCCCCAGAGAGATGGGTCTCGCATCGAGCTGCCCGTTTTCTCTTCAAGTCAACAACAATGTTTTGGCTCCTATCCAATACCTTTCCGTATTTTGTTTCCATTTCTACCTACAGGATCAATCCCTATCCACTGGTTTAAAGCCAAAGGTTCAAAGATAACAGTTATGTGCAACTCGGTCTTGAATCCGCCTCAGAGAGACCATGCGCATGCCATTGGTTGAATTTGATAAACCCTGACAAAATAGTGAGACATCATCAATAACAGGATCATAGGCTAAATAATAGGTCGCACATCACAATTTATAGAATACCACAAACTAATCATCGCATACAAATCCACTAGGAACCCGAATATAAACTGCCAGTCCAACCATATAAAAGCTGACACGCTCGCACTGGGATGAGTACATGTATGAGCTGAAACTACTCCGCAATATTGGTACTTCAGTCATTCGACTAGCATATGGAGCCCGCTAAGATATTTATCCATGATCACAAAAGGGTTGCAAGTTGTAATCCTTTAAGGAGAAGTTTCTAGCATTAGTCTACATCAGTACAATCAGCACTTCAACAGAAAGAAGCATATAAATAAAACAAAGAGTCTATCCATCTGCAAAATTTGTAAAGAACCACAGAGAAGTACGATACCAGAAACTCCAGTGAGGACCAAGAGAACTACAGAGTAAGCCATCACAGAGGAAACATTCAGACTTTGAAAGATTAAGCTGAAAATGCATAATGCCTAGAAATCAACATACATTCAAAGCTCAAGATAGAGCTTGAAATAGAGAGGCGGACCCATTATCCACTGAATTTCAAACCGTTTGCCACTCCCCTCAGAAATTTCTAGTTTATCAGAAAAAAACATAGAGCTTGAGAACGCAAATTTGGATTTTCAATACGACTTGATTCATCTTGTTTTCTTGAGAGTAAAGTCGGGATCCAACGTATAGGTTTCTAGCATACAAGACACAATTGTTTCCTCGAAAAACAATCAAACAAGATGCTCTATACGGTACCACATACCAGAACAAGTTAGATCCACAAAACCAAGAAAATGCTGGCGGTTTTTTCCTTGAGAAGAGCTTCGATATTGCACCAACCCAAATAATTATAAGCACATATGGAAAGCAATAACCATCTTATCATCAAATAGTAGTCAGTGGCGGAAGCAGGATTACCGCCAAGGGGGTTCAACCGTTCAAGAAAAGAAAAAAGTTAGAAAGGTTGTAGCTAGTGGGAATAGAACCAATGACCTTACAAAAATTTTGAACTCCCTTGACCACTAAGCTATGCTTTTGGGTTATGTTAAGGAGATTCAAAACAAAACATAATATATAGAGGTAAAAAACAGATTTTGCCTTATATATACAGTGTAATTTTTCGGCGAAGAGGGTTCGGGTGAACACCCTTCTGTCCCCCTAAATCCGCCCCTGATAGTAGTATAGTACCCATTGGATCACATTCATCACAATTCATAACAAAAGGAACATACTCCCAACAAAATGTCTTGTTTTATTGATTACTATCTCACATTATTGGCAAGATAGTACTTGGGCCCCTCTTTCAGAAGGGACATCCAAGGGAGTCGAATGATCTACTGGGTTTGCTCAAAAAATCCCAGGTGCAAGATAGTTTGGAATGGGGTGAATCAAAAGAGAGAACCTATACTGTCAAAAGACGATATGACAATCTATGCTCCAACAAAATAATTGACAAATGGTCATGGAAGCTTATATGAAAAACCAAACTATCTAGAAAAGTAGTTGGTTTTATATGGACAACCTTGTATGAAGCTTGTCTTACTCAAGACAATCTTAGCAGAATAGATGTTATATGTGCCAAATGGAGTCTAAGAGTGTGACGAATTTTCTGCACTGTTCAGTACCAGCTGACATTTGGAGTATTTTTTACAAATTTTGGAATAGCTTGGGTCATGTCAACAGTACCAAGGAAGCTTATGAGAGCTGGTGCTCAGGAAGAGTTGGGAAATCAATCAAAAAAACTTGGCAAATAGTGCTTGGTGTTATTTGTGGAGTATTTGGAATGAAAGAAATCATAAATATTTTGATGGGATTTCAACTCCTAACCATGCTCTTAAAGCCACTTCTATAATTAATAATTTATTAGTTGGTTCAACCAGGCCCCTGTAACAAGTGTTGAACTTTTCCTAAATTTTATCTGCTCTTTAGTTGTCCAGTAAGTATTGGTATATGAGTAGACACTACATTTCTGTAGTAATTTTTGCTATGCATTTTCTTAATGTCATTTAATGAAATTCCCTTCATCCAACAAAAAAAAAGGAAAAACTAAAACTAAGTGTGTGCAATAAAGGGGCTCTTTTTAATAATATCGTTTGTATTTTGCTGCAAAGACAATTTTGGTCCTCATAAACACGAGCAAAGATAGCCTAAGGAAAATATAAAACAAAATATGCAGCAAATATGTTGATCTTCTAATGGTTAATATTCTATATTAGTATAACTCAAACTTTAAAATGCTTAAAATTTTCTTTTTCACTTCTATAGTAAGAAAGGATTAAATGAGAAGACAATTAACCCTATCAGCCGCCAAGGCTTAGTTCAAGTGGCAAAGATTGAGGGATTGTCACAGCTCAGAGCCTTGCGTCATGCTAACTAAGTCCAGTACTAAAGTGGAGAAGGGTAGATGAAGGGGGCATTATCCCCGAGTTTCAAAAGTAGTCCTTGGTTAAGGGTTGACCTCCAAACAGATTTCCCAGTCATAAAAAAACAAGTGCATATCCACGTCAAATTCAAATTGGAGAGATGACTTCATTTCACAGCCCATTTTTTCTAGTAACTGTGGTATCCGGATTAGCTTGCTCGCACCTCGATTAATTCCACAGAGTACCTGCTACCTTCCACCATCATAGGACAAATTTTTGGGTGTTTTCACAACCCATTTTTACTCATGTTACTATCGAATTTTCCACATAGCAAGGATCAATCATGTTGTTTGAGAGACAACCCTGACATATTAATCATACAAGAGGATGCCCACTTGAAATGTTCTAATTTCATATTTCTTTGATGTAATAACAAATAAATGAATCTATTAATATATAATAAGACTTGATGAAAGCATCACGTATAAATGGATCATTTGCAATTAAAATTATATGAAAACCACACTGTTGGCTGGACTTCAAATACGTCACTCAGATGGGACTTCAGCAAGTCAAACCAAACACATTGACACATCGCACATGGTATGTTTATGGGAAGGAGTTAATCAAAGGGTGGTAAAAAAATTAACGGTCATCACCTCCAACGTACATCTGCCATCAGTATTTGGAAGAAAAAATGGTGTCGCAGTGTGATATTAATCATATTATGTGGAGCCTTTTTTTGGATAAGTCGAATGTTACATTGATAAGACACCAAAAAGGTGTAGGATTTAAAGATTGCAAGATTAATATTAAGCATTCTATAAAACACATATGTAATATATATGCTAATCCTTCCCAAAATCCTAACCATCTATCTATACAAGCAGGCATCTCCAATTTACACCATAAGAACAAAAGAAAAAGAAAATAACTTCTGACCGATCCAACAAGTTCCCAACTCCAAGAAAAATGCTCTTATTATTTTATACTAACCAAAAAAGTGCAAAAATGTGTTATCTTTCATAACTTTTTTTCCATTCATCCATCTTGTTGCTCCTCGAGCAAAGGCCAAAATTTTTGTCTTTCTTCTAGCAGAACCAAAATGTAGTGCTAAGGATCTCGCACATACAACACCGACTAACTAAAATGCATCTGCTTCTTGAATAGTGGAGTTCCAAGCACCTTACCAAGTGGAAAAAATCAATGCTTGATGCTTTAGATTCCACGGAGACTTATGTACAGGTACAACTACTCTTTCCCCGAGTCTTGAAGAGGTATCCTTTATGTCGTGAATTGTGCGCTTCACTATAAATAAGAGTGTTACATCTCGCTTTTTGATTCAAGCCCATGAAACTTGTCAATTTTTAGTGCTTTTCGCTTTTAAAAACACCATTAGGACAAAAAATTATTATAGAGGTACTACACCATATGAATATACCCAATAAAATGAAAGACATTAGACGCTTATGAGACCAAAACTACCATACAGAGTGAATGCTGGGGCGCCAAGACTTGAGTACAGCTAATACCCCACAAGATAAATATATCAAACAAGTATATCAAATTAGAAATGATCAAATCAACCAAAAAGAGCAAGTAGCACATATAGAAAAGGTTTAAAATATCTCCTACATTACATGAAACACCAAAAAGCACTGGTCTAAATACAAGAAACTATGGTCATTGAAGGCGTTAAAAGGAAACGAGATAATATGGAGATGGAAAAATTAAATTTGAATGCCGATTCATATATCACCACAACAAATATGAGATTTGGTCTAGTTGATTGATCACTAGCCAATGAAGTGCACAACAATAATCTAGTACTCCAGAAAGGCATTCTAAATGGCCTTTCTAGGTAACAAGTTTTTGCACAATGACGTTTCAAAAGGTTTGTGATATTTACAACTAATTAAAATTGTGAGAAGTAGTTGGGGAAAGCAAGAGCTTCAGCGCGTTAAGCGTGAAGCGAGGCAACAGGGAGGCCGCTTTCTGAGTCCGAGGCGAAGCGGGTTGAAGGAAGCGCTCGCTTCTTAGCAGAATCGTGAAGTGATGAAGACCCGAGGTGAGCTCTTCTTTAAAAAGCGACAATTTTAGAACAAAGAAAGTAGGGGACTCTTTTAAGGAGAAGAAGAGTCCAGGTTGGGACTATGAATGTTTTAGAAGAAGTTAATCATTCGAGTCCGAAATTGGATGCCGCTTCTTGCTAAAGAACTATCGACTATTTGAGTCTAGGCGAAGCGGGTTAAAGGAAGTGCACACTTCTTCGGCGAAAGGGCTCGATTTTAGGCAGAAGCGTGAAGAAATGAAGACGCGAGGCAAGCGCTTCTTTAAAAAGTGACAATTTAAGAAGAAAAAAAAAATTGGTGGCTCTTTCTAGAAAAGAAAATAAAGAAGAAGAAGAGTCCAGGTTGGGACTCTTTCAGAAAAAGTCGTAGTTTGGGTTAGAAATTGGCTGCCGCTTCTTGCTACAGAAGTATCAACTCCAGGTTCTTCTTCCCCCTTCCCTTCTTCCCTTCTTTGTTGCTATGGTTTTCAATATGAGCATCGCAATTTTTCCAGTTTTACCGTCTGATTTCATCGTATTAAGCGAACATAGACTCC